ACAATATCTAATAATTGTTATCAGTCTATCAATGATGTTCAATTGTATGCCTGATGGTGATGTTAAAGAGCAGGATTGTCAGGTTAATGCTGAAGCAACAACACTAATGAGAAGATAACATATTGAAATATATTTAAAATTTTTAGTTCAATTTTTAGATAATGAATGATGCATCTGGATCTGTTGAATTACATCAACCTATTGACGTTTCATTGGATCAATCTGGTGGTGATACTCAAGAGCAGGATTGTCAGGTTAATGCTAAAGCAACAACACTTATGAGAAGATAATATATTGAAATATATTTAAATTTTTTAATTCAATTTTTAGGTGATGACTGATGTATCTGAAAGCAATGAATTATCAACAATGTGTCCAGCTTCATATAGAGCTCAGTGTAAAAGAAAACAAGAGAAGCAATATAAGAAATTCAATGAAATTATCCGAAAACAACAGCTAAATATTATTAAAATGTGGAAAACAATAAAAACTTTAAGATTCACTATACATACTTTAAAAAAATAATGATAGTACTTTAAAAAAAGATAATAAGTATAAAACAGCTTTACAAACAGTATTTACTGATTGTCAGATTAAAGTTTAATCTCAAAAAAATGAAACATTCGAACTTGATCAAATGAAACTATTGAACGTGCTTTGCAAATAAAATTTGTTTGTGGATACATGGAACTTATTCGCCAAGGACAGCCACTTCCATGTCTACGAACATTGCAGCTAAAAATAGAAAATTTTAAGTTTACACTTGGAACAACGTTTGAATTTTTGAGCAACAAAAAACCGTATTTTGAAAGTGAAAAAGATTTGGAATGCGGATTAATCTTTGACGAAATGTCCATTACACCTAAACGAAGTTACAATCCTTCAACTGCATCGTTAATAGGTAATGTAACATTTCCCAACCATGAAGGTATTGCTACGCATGCTATAGTGTTCATGCTTGTGGGTATATGTAATCGATGGAAGCATATAGTGGGATATCATTTCACTGGGAATAGTTTTGCTAGTAAAACTTTACAGGAAATAATATTTCAGATTATTAAAAAAAACTGGAGAAATGGGTTATCATGTGAACTTTATTACGTCAGACATGGGGTCGGGAAACATTGGATCATGGAAACTATTAGGTATAAGTACAGGTAGACATAGTGAAATAGTTAATCATGTTAAACATCCATTCGATGCAAGTCGATATCTACATATATGTAATAAGTGATCCACCACATATTTTTAAAAATTTGAAACAAGCATTAATTAACAATGGAACAATAACAATTTCTGATGACATAGTAATGAAATATAATTTATCTACAAATCAAGTACAATTGGAACATTTCAATGAATTGTTAAATATTTAAAATGATTCTGACATTTTGTTAACGCCTAAATTATATGTAGATAATATACAGTCCAATAATTTCAATAAAATGAAAGTAAATGAGGCTAGAAACATTTTTTCTAACGATGTTAGTAGTACTCTGCAACTATTAGCGGATGAAAATAATAAACCAGAATACATTACAACTGCGTGGTTTGTAAACATTGTCTCGAAATGGTTTATTCTCATGACATCAAGAAATTGTAGTGTAGCATTAGGCAAAAAACATGAAAATGTGTACAACACAAATGTTGAATTTTTAAATGAAATTATTAATATTTTTAATAAGCTAAAAATAGGTAATGGCAATTTTAAGCCAGTTCAGAGAGGTATATTAATTAGTACTAAGTCTATGCTTGAATTAACAGATTACCTTATAACACAAAAGAATTTTCAATTTGTTTTAACTTCTCGTTTTACTCAAGACATTATGGAAAATCTTTTTTCCCAAATAAGAATGAAAAATGTAATACCTAATCCGTAACAGTTTTCAAATGACTCAAAGTTAATTTCTGTTTCTCTGTATTTGAAAAGTACAAGTAATAGTAATTATGATAATGATAACAGAGAATATATATCCGGATTCGTCAAATATTTGTCTGAAGCAAAACAGAAAAGGAATTGTGATATTGATATAGATTTAAATAACAATAGCAATATATAATGGCAAAATCGTACCTTTTAATAAAAATTCAGCACCAATATTATCAAGTCTACATTTAAATAGTATACATTTATATAATATTGCTGGATATATTATATAATCGATTATGAAAATATGTAAACTTTGTAAAAATTGCATAAAATCAGTAGGATCCAAAACTGCTTTATCATATTCATTTACAAAATTAACACGATTAAAATGTTATACAAATAATTCTTTATTTTTTGTCAATATTGAAACGTTAAAAGTATTTATAAAATTTGAACAAATGTTTCAACACTATTTCAAGTATATTGTTTACTTAAAAAGCAGTCAAGCATTATTCTTAATTAAAAAATTTTCTACAGTTAAAGCAAACCATATTTTAAAATGTCATAGTTCACATTTACAAATCATTAAAAGATTTGTCATATTTAGGCTAAGAATTAGCAATAAAAAAAGTACTAAATGTAAAACGTACGATAGTAAGTCCATGGCAATGCACAATACGTAAATGTATTATGTATTTTTTATTTTATATTTCTTTATAATAATAAAGAAATTTTTTAAAAAATTTATTTCTTTTCTTATATACCTCAATTTTCAAAATCAAAATAACTTTAATAAAAAAAGATAAAACAATTTTTTTAGTAAGCATTACTTCAATCATATAATAGGTGCGTTCGGAGAGATGCTATTGGCTGGGGTCCACTTAGCGTTTCAAACGCTACAGAGCATTTGTAGCACTGATATGACTGGTCCATTTGATGCTTCAGAACGCTCCCAGCAACTCTGATTACGTCATCAATACATCATCGTTTTGCTCCCACTTCGCTTCAACTGCTTCACCTTGGGAGGTGGGTTGGCTGGAGCGTTCACGTAGCAATTGTAGCATTCGAAATAGTAATGGACCAATCGGAGCGTAGCGTTTGGAGCGTAACGTTCAGAGCATTTGGAAGAAGCAAGTGGACCGCAGCCATTAATGCTATTTCTGTCATTCTATGCTTGTTTTGGTTGGAAAATTGATTTTTCACAAAATAGATTAATTGCAAACGATTTTTAGAGTATCGATACGCACATCGCCCATTCCTACAATATTGACATTCGAATATTGGCGGGAATTGCTGAATAATGACGGACCAATCAAAATTGGCTGTTCTCGTGTCGCGACTCTGATTAGAGGGTCTCTAGCTTCGCGCAACTTAGCGCCGAGACACTACCTTAGAACATATATAAATGGAACGAGTTCCGAAGAACCACTCAACCGAGGTGGACGTGTTCCCTCTCGGCTTGGGTGTTGCGTCACCTCGACTATATTTTTGAAAAGCGTTGCCGGCTTTGACTGTGCCGTTATATTCAATTTCGGCTGCGGTCCACTTGACGCTACAAACGCTTCGAAGCGTTTTAGCAACCAATCAGAACAAAGAATTTTACAAATTGACTAATCAAAAACGCTTCGAAGCGTTTGTAGCGTCAAATGGACCGCAGCCTTCGACAGTCCGTTTATCCGTCTTGGAGTGCGGCCGTGCAGCGTGGAAACGTCGTAGCCGCAGACGTCCAGTGTTTGAAGGGGCGCCCCAACATTTTGATTACATCATCCTTTATTTTACTTGCCCGATTCGAGGTGGCCGGTGCATAGCATTCCTACTTACGATTAGCTTCAATTTACGCAGACCTCAATGGCCTAGTCCAACCTTGGTTGCCTAGCCAAAATCAGAAGAAGAAGAATATAAATGGAACGGGCATTGCCTATACTTCCCATGGCTCGCGCTGATGCAAACGTCTGTGCGAGAGAGAAAGGTAGTAAGGAATAAATGTTCCCAATGCGCATGCGCAGCATCACGTTTTACACATCTGTGTAATGTACGAATGTGTAAAAACACTAAACCAACTGCACAATTCACACAGATGACGGTGTTGCGCATGCGCATTGCGAACATTTATCCCTTACTATCTTTCTCTCTCGCACAGATGTGGCTCACGTTCAGCGTCTTATGCCCCTTCCATTTATATATGTTCTAAGGACACTACCAGTGTATCCAGATATATAACTATGGGTGCGGTCCACTTGGCGCTACAAATGCTTCGAATCGTTTGGAGCGTTGTTTTAACCGGTCCACATGGCACTTCAAATGTGTCCCAATAGCACGTATAAACGTCATTAATACATCACAGGTTTCCACTTCCACCTTATTTCCAATTGCTTCCAATGCTACTGCTTGGAGAGGTAGTTTAACTGAAGCGTTTAGTGAGAATATATAAAGCGCGGAAAAGCATAATAATAAACGAACGAAAGTATATCTGTAAAGCTGATTTTTAAATTTACATATTATATATCGTGGCATCGTGCTACATATATTACTACAAATCGTGCTGTATGGTATATTGTGTATATTACATTATTAAAAATAAAAATTATATAAACTATGCCGATTATAAGGTTACATGAAGGAGATACTGGAGTGATTCATAATCTAGAAGTTTCCGAAAAAGATGCTATTATCTTCATCATAAATATAAGTAAGCGATTCTGAAAAAACTTCACAGCGCACGTTAGCATGACTTTTATTTTATCCATAATTGCAAAATACGTACTAACGCTTCAAAACGCTTCAAAAATTGGTCCATTTGCATACTGTTGGCAGCATTAGTAGTGCTAATGGACCGTTCTATAGAAGCATATGAAAGTGAAAACGTTTGAAGCGTTTGTAGCGCCAAGTGGACCGCACCCTATATAATCGATGTTTATGAGATAATTAAAAAATCGCGCCATTGAATTATCTCAACGATACTTGTCGGTAATGCAGAACGAGTGTTCACGTCTCGGCTAAAGAACTGGCGGGGGATCTGCAATATCAACAATTCCTCGGTGATTAGCGCGGAAATAAACCCTATTTTTGGATTCGTGTCTCATTGACGCACGTGCTAAAGGCTAAAGATCAAACGGTTTCACAATGTGTCAAAAAATGTCCCCCGTCGATAGTAACGTCTTTTAAAACGCTTATTATCACGTTGGAAAATGTCGTGAGTAATATAATTCCCTGATTTTTCTTGATTTCCTCAAACTGGAGGTTTATCAGCCTCTCACGAATCTTCCAACGTGTCACTAGGTACTAATCATCGTTTGCTGAAGGTAAATAAAATTTGTTCGCTTTCATCGCTGCAACATCGTTGATTTCATGCTGCTCGTTCGTATACGATCGAAGTAGGGTCTTTGAGACGCATTGTCGGTCGTAGAAATCGCAGCATCGCATCACGATGAATTCGTGCAGAAAGAAGAACGAGGAGGTATTGGCGAAGGTCTTGGACTTATTCCTACTGCCGGATTACAACGTCGTCTCGCTAACCTACTTGGATCATCTGCTCACTCACATTGCGGAAAACACGAAGGAATGTAAGGAGCAATTAGTCAATTTTAGGCTTAATCGAAATAAATTAGCAAATAAAAAATTCCTGTAAGAGCCACACACATAAGGTGCTTACCATGACATAAGTCGATGCTGTCTTCTCGTTCTATCTTTGTTATCGAATGTCAAGAAAGATAGATTGTGTCAATTTGCGCCACCAAATGAAAAGCACCCTAAGGGCGACTGTTACCAACGCCGATTAACTTAATCGACAGATTAACTCAATCAGCAGAATTACCATTATAGATAGAAGATTTTCATTACTTTTATCACAATTAAGTATAGGAACGCAGAGAGAGAAGTATATCACGAAGAGATAAGGTTAAGAACGATATACAGTCTTGCGTTGACTACATTACATATTGAGTTAATCATTGATTAAGTTAATCGGCGTTGATAACAGTCGCCCTAAGTGTCCCTAAATAAATAGAACAACGTGTGAAATTATATAATGAAATTTTGCATAAAATTTATAATTTGTGATATACAGGTACATTTACAAAAATATACAGAAACTCTGATCTTTTGTAAAATATTGATATCTGTTTGCACAATTAACTTCGACATAGTATTTTGGCAAAACAGTAATAACAATATATTTGGCAATTAAATCTGAAAAGAAATTGTCCAATGATTGCTTATATTATTAATCAAAGAAATTACGATAAACTGTATAACCATTACATCCAACATGATTCGTTCAACCGAATAGTCATTAAATTTCTAAATTTATTATGTAATACAATATAAATTGAACACAATATATTAAATATTGTTCGGTATATACTTTGCTATTTAAATTATACAGGCGCTACAGTTGATTATGAGTATTATGAAGTCTTTCAAGAATGGATATCCAAGGCTTTAACGATATGGGAGACTGGACAGAAGGCTTCGCACCCTGTGATTACATTTACGCTGAAATTAGTGGGGATTATCTCACGGCATGAGCTACGTTATCACTACTGGCACTGCCAGGACGTGTACAATCGACTCTATAAAATTTTACAGTTGCACAGAGAGGATTTGCCTGCGTCCATTAAAATGGCATATACCATAATGCTATCAGACTTGATTGTCCATCGAAGCGGCAGACAGTGGGTGATACAGTCTGGTAAGGCAAAACTATGACACTAATGTCATTGACGTTTAATATTGATCTAAGTTGTTTTCCTTTTAGAAAACATATTGTTCTATCTTTTTTATTTGTTGAATGTCAAGAAGGATAGCAGAATGTTGTGTCTCTTAAAAAGAAAACAATCCTTTGTGTTTTGTAAAAAGTAAAAGAACAAAATATTTTAGGACATACACTGCCGTCGAAAAGTTTCCGGACATGGAACTTAAAATTGTATAATATTCAGATCACCGTAACTCGGTAAAAAAAAACATTGCAGACAAAAAATAAAAAACAGTCGAAAGCATGCTAAAGTATAAGTTTCAAGCTTTAAAATGCTTTTTTATTTTTTTATCTGCAATGATTTTTTACCGAGTTATGGTGATATGAATATTATGCAATTTTAAGTTCTATGTCTGGAAATTTTTTGATAATAGTGTATATATTTTTGAATTATATCATTCATTTATTACAACAGTGGTAAATTCAAAAATTTTCATTTTTAGTTGCTTGCAAAAAAGTAGTGGGAACATAAAGAAAAATATTCTTATTTTTCTACAATCAGTTATTATATAAAAATTGCATTTAAAATTAAAATTGTAAAATTTTGATGATTCGAAATTTTTAAACTTATTTTCTGGAGAACTTTGATTTTTTAGTTGTGTTTTTTTGTAATTGTAACAAGTGAGTAATATATAAATAAATATAAAATGATTTTGAAACATTGAGATTTATATATTAAGAATTTGCAAACGATATGACTGCAAATTATTATTCTCTTTCTAAATGCAATAGGTGTATGGGAGGATGTTGTAAAGTATGCACATTGGAATCAAACGATGTACGTTACCAGGGAGAGTCAGAAATTCTTATGGACCTTGTTACTGCATGAACATAAGAACATCGAGGCTTGTAAAGAGATCATTCTGACAGTTGCTGCTCCTCTGATGAGCAATATTTTGGATGGACAAATGCACCAGGCTCTGGAAACGTATCTGGAACAGAACAAGCTGTTGTGTTCCACGTTGAATTTATTGACTAACATCCTGGAGAACACTCTGTTCGCAAGTCTAGACAATAGCATTCCCGAATTGATCGAAAGACTTGTAGACCTTGAAATGCGGGTGAAGGCGTTGTTCGAAGCCTGTATCAGTACTAGATTCCTGCAACATGTGCACAAACTATTACTATTGTCGCTGTTCTTGAAACTGAAGCAAGGAATTAAGGAGCACACCACAGTGATCGAAACCGAAGCATGGCACAAGTTCTGCTACGGTATGTGTTACATTTTTATGATGCTGTTATCGAAGAAGGACATTATAGAACTAGTGAAGAACAACAAGTTCTCTATGACATATTGGAAGAAGCTGCTTGCGTTACATGAATTTGTTCTGCCGGAGCAGCATAAGTTCGAGCATCAAGCTATCGCCATAATGGTAAGTCAATCGCAAATAGAGAAGAAAATGATTCTATCTAACGGTAACTTACTCGGTAACTTACTCGGTACATTACGAATTATCCAGTAATTTTGGAAAGCTGGCAAAACTTCAAGCTATCGCCATAATGGTAAGTCAATCGCAAATAGAGAAGAAAATGATTCTATCTAACGGTAACTTACTCGGTACATTACGAATTATCCAGTAATTTTGGAAAGCTGGCAAAATGGTAATCTAAAAAAAAATATCTATTATTAACCGTCAAAAACAACGAATTTCATCAAAATTATTAATAAATTATTTTATCGTAATTTTACTATAAGCAATCGTCGCGTTGAATCTGATGGTTTTACATCTCTAGTTGCAGTTCATGCGTTCATGTATGTGGTTGGATAGTAATATTAAAAGTAAACTGCTTTTAATTCATTAACAGATAATACCACTGTGCGTGTGTATAAAGAAGAATCATTTGAATCACGATCTCTTTGATATGTTTATTAATAAAATTTTCGACGTAACATGTGTGCCTGTACAAAGATTACTTTACAACATGAGGGACATTATACGAAAGAGTGATCTTCCGATGGAGCAAATTTGTAAAGTTTCTATCGATCTACTTCTTGAGATATCAGACATAATGGACAGAGTGAGTACATCCGATTCGTTAAATTAAATTAATTTTTATCAACTTTTGTAATTTTAATTGTTTGCCTTTTTCCAGGACGTCGCTGTAATCACTTTCCAAGCTTTAAGCCACGTTTTGAAAAGTTACATGCCGGACATATGGGGGTGTGGGCAAGCGAGAAACTGCACGTCAGACGTAAATAGCACCTCTCCTTCGGAGCATCCACGAAAACTTCTGTACAAATCGATATTGGATGGTGATCCCATAGTCGACTCTCCTATTCTATTGGCGTCGCTGCTCGATGGCTTGGCTGTCATGACAGAAAAATTCAAACTGAAATGGCAGGAATGTGTGGAAACGATATGTATGTTGTCCCTCGCACAGGAGATTCTCAATCATCCCGGAATATTACCAACGGTAAAAGATTGCTGAAATCAGAGTAATGAATTAATTAAGATTAATATATAATAATAAACAAGGCTATGAGAGTCAATACTGCGTTAGAATTGCAGGAAATTAATCAATTATGTGTCGATACTTATAAAAATTGTTTAATTAAGACAGACGTTTCGGCCTACTTCCGGGCCATCTTCAGTATACAGAGAACGTCGATAGCACTTCCATCCGAACCAACGAGTTATCGTTCACCTTATATCGACCTTATACGACTCGCTTAGACGTAATTTAAACCATTGTGACAACTTCTACATTTCCATGCATATATTGTGTATTAATTTATTTGAAACTTTTACATTCGAACGGTACCCTTCGATTCAATCTGGCCACAAGAACTACGAATCTTGTTCCAACTATGAATATAAGGTGAACGATAACTCGTTGGTTCGGATGGAAGTGCTATCGACGATCTCTGTATACTGAAGATGGCCCGGAAGTAGGCCGAAACGTCTGTCTTAATTAAACAATTTTTATAAGTATCGACACATAATTGATTAATTTCCTGCAATTCTAACGCAGTATTGACTCTCATAGCCTTGTTTATTATTATATATTAATCCTAATTTGACATTTTTGAGAGTTCTATTTTGAATTTAATGAATTAATTATTTATGCGAGAAGAATCGAGTCGAATAGTCATTACTTAGAAAAAGAGCTGAGAAATAATGATCCAAATTTTAATTTCTATTTAGATTTGTGTGAAAGCATTGAAATTGTGCAAGCTCGCCATCCATAACTTTATGCCGCCTAATTTGGCATTACTCGTGGATTCGGACAGCAACATGAACGAGATTGGACCTACGCTCTTTAAAAGATTGCACGATCCCAACTGGGAGGTGCGAGACAGTGTCCTCGAGGTTCTCAACACCATCGCGACTATTTCTGAAGACAGTAAGCAAATCAGAATATTGAAACTGATATAGGTGGTCTCTTTAAGTTTTATTTGTTTCAACAAATACAGAACATATATATAATCAACGTATAATAAAATATAGAAATATTTAATCTTTTTATAGAATATCCGGCATTCCAGGATTTTCTGTTGATCAATCAGTTTCCAACAGTGGCGGTCGAGATCATTAAAACAGACAACGAGAGTTACGTGCGAGCGTCAGCGTTAACATTTATCGCGACTATGGTACGCATCAACAAGCTGTGGGAGCTGCAATTGTCGCAAAAAAATTTAACCGTACGTACATTTGTTCATCGTTTCCAAATATCGTTGAAGAAGATTAGTTATGACTTAACTGATTTTTACAGGAAACGGCGATTTATCTACTCAAAGACGAGAGCGAAGCGATAGTCAGAAGAGATGCTGTGAACCTAATTAAGGAATTGTATGTTCATCAGAAGTGGTCGTATGTATAGTTTTTTTAAATTTATGTGTTAATACTCTTGACATGCATTATACGATAATCAATGTATTTGCAGGAAAGAAATCATTGATTCAATGTTGCGAGCGATGTGCATGGCAGCTGTATTTGATCTGCACTGGGAGGTGAAGACGAATGCATTATCCTTCTGGGATCACTTTGTTAAGTCGCACTTGACGGATCAGGGAATGCTTGATGACTCATTCCCAAACGTAACATTCTCCAAGGAGCACAGAAAGATCGTAGCATTGAACGAAACCGAAATTAAGCGAAGGCTTAATAAAGCACTAGACGAGTTGGCCAGGCAAAGTTGCCTAGGAGTAAGTAAATAATTAGAATTCTGATGTGTATTGAGTGAATTTTATATCTTTAAATTTATCAGCCCATAAATAATTGGATGTGAATAGATGAATTGATATAATTTATAAATTATTAATATTTATTTTGTACGTAATAAAAATAGTGAGAATTAATAAATATTTAATCCCTGAATGGTTTTCTTTTTCAATCTTCTAGGTACTTCTGGTTACTCTGAAGGACGATAGCGATTTCGAGGTGTGCAAAGCGTCCGCCGCGATAATCAGCAAGTTAAAAACCTGCTTACTCAAATACAAATTGAACGAACCGCCGTCGCCGGTCGAAAACCACGCGACTATAGACACCGTCTATGTTAAAGAAACATCGCCCGTTTCCTCGACTATCTGTGACAAGAAATCACGAAATGCCTCAAACGTTATTGAGGAAATCGTGGACGCAAACGATGCCAATCTGCTCGAAACCATCTATGAGAACTCCATGAATATGGACGCCGAGATGACGATAGAGGAAGAAGAGAAAGAGGAGAAGAAAACACTCCGTTACATCTCGTCCGTAACCCGCCAGGATTTCCTCCATGCGATCTTCAACTGTGACATTGATGCTTATATCGAGGAAAAGAATCGCTGGCTGAAGACCTATACCAGTAGCTTTGAGTCGATTTTAGACGACATACTGACGATGCATAAGCAGAATGACGTCAACTCGATGGACTGCTATTGAAATCATGGCAATGTCGCTTTACGTGTGTCTTAACATATTAAAGGCCGGTCATCTAAAATTAGATGTTATGGAGATCAACATTAAACGGCTGGTTTTCTAAAGAAGAGTTTGTTATAAAGAACTTTTTATAGTATGTACTTAAATACACAGGCATTATCAATTATCTCTATTCTAGTCTGTAATCATTCTCACTTCGTAAACTATTGCATCTATTTTCAAAACTCCAAATTTCGTCAACACAGATGAATATAATGTACACAAAATATCGCCGGTCGATAATGTGTTAAGCAGCAATATGATGTGCATTCTTTTCTTACATTGGATGACATGTTGATTGTCAAATATTGCATATATAAAGTTATTGTATATATTTGAACATTTTCCTAAAATCAAGTTAAAATCGAGCATTCTATGAAGCAGTCCCTTAAAATCTATAAAACATTTTGTTGCATTTTAATTTTTCTTACGTATATCTTTCAATCTGTTCTTTTATTATAGTATTGTTCTTCCATATACATTTTTCTTATTTCTCCTTTGAATAGCAAGTAAGAAATCGTGTAATGTTCTTGTTTTTATTCGTGTAACAACGCAGGTTTAATGGCATTGACATTTTGTATATCGTTAATGTAAACATTGTAAACAATAAAATAGGAAACCAAAGAAAATTTATATGCGTCTTGAAGAATAGATACGCAAACATTGCGTTTACATATAAAAGTGATGCATGGGGTTTTTCCCTCGTTTTTATCTTAATGGATATCTGTTTCTGATTGAAATAACATATTAAACAGTTTCTGTTTATTTTATATTTGTTTGTTTTCCAAAGATTAGATATTGCAATGGTAATTTACATCACTAGGTAATAATCATCTTATATATTATATTATATACGAAACTCTTATATACACGAGGATCGTCTGAAAAGTTTTAAGCCTCATCATGAAGATGGCGTTACTCGTCAAAGCCATTCTGATATTATAATCGTGATACTTACGAAAGATGTCTGTGACAGTTGTGGCCACTTTGGACGTTCAGTTCTTGTTTGACAATCATTTGTGTCGACAATCATGTTTTGTAAAAATGGAAAAAATTGAATATCGTGTTATAATTAAATTCTTGCATTTGAAAGGCAATACGTCTACGCAAATTAAAGCCGAGTTGGACGCTGTTTACGGGGACTCTGCCCCATCATTTGCCACCGTGAAAAGATGGGTAGCTGAATTTAAACGTGGTCGTACCAGCTTAGCTGATGATGAGCGTTCGGAACGGCCAACAACTGCGACCACCACCGATGACATCGAAGAAATTCATCAAATGATAATGGACAACCGTCGAATTAAGATTAGGGAGATAGCAGCAGTTGTTAGCATATCAAGAGAACGTGTCATATATTGACTGAAGAATTAGGCATGCGTAAGTTAACCGCGCGTTGGGTGCCGCGCTTGCTCACTCTGGATCAAAAACGCATTCGAATGAACATTTCTAAGGCCCTGTTGGAGCGGTTTAAGCGAAACGAGTCGGATTTTTTGCGTCGATTAATAACGGTTGATGAAATTTGGATCCACTTTTGCATTTGAAAGGCAATACGTCTACGCAAATTAAAGCCGAGTTGGACGCTGTTTACGGGGACTATGCTCCATCATTTGCCACCGTGAAAAGATGGGTAGCTCATTTAAACGTGGTCGTACCAGCTTAGCTGATGATGAGCGTTCGGGATCAACAACTCAATCCAAACAGTGGACTGCGAAGGGTGAACCTGCTCCGAAGAAAGCGAAGACGGTTTTATCGGTGGGAAAGGTGATGGCGACTGTTTTTTGGTACAGTCATGGAATTGTGTTGATCGACTATCTTGAAAAAGATAAAACAATAACAGAGATGTACTGCGCATCATTGCTTGACAAGCTGAAGGCAGAAATTGAGAAAAAACGACCGCAAAAAGAAGAAAGTGCTGTTCCATCAAGATAACGCACCGTCTCTCTTCGTATCACACTTCGGCGGTCGCTATCGAGGGGGTAACCATTAGCTGAAATATTGTCCCACAGATTACATGATTTCATCTGATTACAAATAATTTTTTTCACTACTATAAAGTAATTTGATAAAGTATACGATTTTATTTAATATTATATAATAATTTCTCGTGGTTGCATATGTAATTATCGGATTATACATAGAGATTTTATATAAATTTCATAATAATTTCGAGGATTCTGTCCCACGATTACATTAAGTGGTTACCCTCTTAGCATTTGAAAAAGAAGTGCTGTTCCATCAAAATAACGCACCATCTCACACTTCGGCGGTCGCTGTGGCAAAAATTGATGATTTACGGATCGAATTAAACCGTATTTACTAGATCTGACCCCCAGCGACTTTTTTCTGTTTCCTAGGCTCAAAGTTTGGCTCGGAGGACAGAAATTTTCATCGAACGAGGAGGTCATTGCATCCGTACGCCTATTTTGCAAAGCAAGACGCTGAGTATTATTTGAATGGATTAAAGGGGTGGGAGCATCGCTGGAAAAAATGTATCGACTTAAAAGGAGACTATGTGGAAAAATAAAATTGAATTTGACCGAAAAATTACTTGTTTCTATGTTGGGCTCAAAACTTTTCAGACGACCCTCGTATATATTATATACGAAATTTTGGAAAAATATTATTCTGTGATTGAAAAAAATTCGAAAAAAATTTTAAATTTTTGATCATGTTTTGAATTTTTTCTATCGCACAATAATATTTTCCATTCAACATTTTATATAAATACATATATGTGTATGAAATGGCAAGATTTGCGAAACAAATTTCTGATTTTGAGAGATAACTATTTTAAATTTGCACGAATTTAGCTGACAATGATTTCTTAAACAATTTTTTTATGAATTGTTTATATTTCGTATGAATGAATTACACAGAGTTATCCAGACAATTTTAATTAATTATATATTTTTACACTATGCAGTTAACATAAATAAATTAAACATAGTTATTGTATAAAATTCTTTACAATTTGTGTAAAGAGTTTTGTATAATTGAAAAAATTTGATAGTCATTTGAATAATTTGAATTAAGTAATTTAAAAATATATGACTAACCGACATAGTGGCTAAATTCATTCAAGTTTATTTTAAATTCATCAAACCGAGATTTTCCCTCGATTCGTAACAAAAATACATTCAACAAAAGTCAATTAATGGTACGTCTAAGTAAATACGACAATATGACGTGTTTGCAATTAATATTGTATAGATCAGTATTTATAGTCCATTCTTATTTTAAGACCGTCTTAAGTAATGGCTTAAATTAAAATGCTAATAGATTATTAATTTTAATCTTTCGTTTTAACTTTTTATCTTTTTCTAGTATTAAGGATTGGAAAAAGATAAAAGCCGATATTCGTAGTCTGTTCTCTTATTTCAAAATCATTTTAAGTGATGTCTTAAAATAGTAAAATACAGCTCCTGTAATTGACTTCCCGGGAAAAAATGCTTTATATATATACATATATGGATATATTGCATATATATTATAACTATATATAAAATATGTCAATTTTATATATAATTATATTATATATGAAATATTTTTTCCTGAATTATGAATTATGACATTTTAAGACGATTTTAAATATAAGAACCGAACTATGTTATAAATAAATACCGGCCAAAGAATAAATTAAACTGAGTAAATTAAAGTTATAATTTACTTTGGAATGATATGTGACTGTTCTTCTTGACAGCCCTTTTCGAAGCAATGCGTACGCCGCGCAACGTTAACGCGCATGCGCATGCGGGATCGCCCTTTCAAATGCCGTCCGCCGTCGCAGTATCGCACAGCCGGCAACTCCGGCAAATCGTCAGTAATGCGCGAACCTTTGCGCAGGAATGTAGTTGATAAAGTGTGTTGATTTTGCAATACGAAAGAATACGAAAAGAAGAAACGAGAAAAAACTACAGTCTCGTGTATAATTGATACACCACTCGTACATTGTCTCGAGATTAACAGAAAAGTGCGTCGCCTGGAAAAGTGCTGATCCAGCCCGATGTCGTATTATTTTCGCGATTCGCCGAGATTCGCGGACCGACTGAGCGGCATGTCCGACGATGAGTTGCTGCGGGAAATGAAGCAGCGATTCAACAAGGACAAGGGGGACACGTTCTTCGAGTCCGACAGGTCTACCAGGGCCGACTCCTTCGACCGGCCCTTCCCGCATTTTCCTAGAGTGAGTATATATTATTCATCAACCACCAACTCGTATAGCAGACTTTATCCGGTCGAGAGACATTCTGGTGCGTTCCAAAACTCGATTATGTCAACTCCAGTATCTTCTAACTTTCCTTGTGGAAAAATTTGTCCGAATGTATCCGAAATTATCTAAAAAAATGTAGTCAAAATGTGTCCGAATTCATCCTAAATGTCTCCGAAAATTGTCGAAATGTACAAATTCGGACAAATTTGGACAGTTATAGATAAAATGAGATACTTTTCGTCAAATTTTGGTAATACTGTCTGAATTTGTTAGAATTTGTCATTTTTTATATTTTTTTGGACAAACTCTAACAAGTTTTTATGTTCGCGTTGCTCGAAATCCTCGAATATTTTTGCACTTAAAATTAGATATAATATATTTGACATTAAGTAAGTACAAAAAATACAATTAACGCGAACAGACTTTTTGTTCAATATTCGGTGAACAACAAGGATAAAATAATACTCGAATTGACAGAGTTGAATTTTGGAATGCACCCCTGGAAACATCCTTAGGTCGTCCTCTGGACGTCTTTAAGGAGGTCTGGCTGAATGGAACTTAAGGAGAAAGTCAAAATAATGTAAATTTGACGTCATATTGACCGAAATTATATCATTTTTTTGTCATGATTCAGTCGATATGACATTAATTTTGATTTTCTTCCTTGGTGAAAATTTTTCTCATAATTTTTATACGAATTGGAACATTTTTCAGAAATACTCTGAAATATTCGGAAAGTTTACATCTTTTCTCA